AATGGGAGGACAGAGTTTGTGTAGATCACCGGGGGATACGCTAAACTATCGTCAGCTACAATAGAGCGAACCAGAATGGTATACTGGAGTAAGATGGCCGCCGTGTAGGGATCCTAGTGACTCCACCTCGAGTCATCTAACCTTTCTTATACACATCTATGACTGGAACGCCGTCAACTCAGGTGTAACGTCATTCCCAGCTCTGACTCCACGGTAACTTGTTCCCAGCCTTATATTCCCTCAGTAACGGCGACTCTCTCTGTGAGAACGTTTCCTATCAGACATGATCCAAAAACGAGGTTCTTCATCCTTAATTTGAAGAAAGTATGAGAGCTGTGGTGTGAAAGGACAAGGCTGCCAGTTACCATCAACTAAATCCCATTAAAACCTCCAAAACAATCAATAAATGGATCGTCCAAGCAAGTAAAGAGTATTGATCGTCTTCCTCTGTGGCGTAGAGCGCTGTGTGGTCCTGCAGAAACTATTAAAAACTCATCTGGGGGACCCGCTCTCTCTCCCCGCCGTGAACCACCTCTGTGAATTTTTCAGTTTATAGTCCAGGAACACAACCGGAGCGAACGTGACGTTACAGCGGCGGTCCTCAGACTTCTGTAGAACCCCGTTTGGAGGTTAATGAAGGTACCTGAAGCCCTAAAACCCTAAAACTGAGACTCGTCCCCCTCTGGACCCTGACGCCGAAGTTTCTCCAAACTTCAGTGAATATCAGCGGTGAGAGTCATCCAAACATCTGATTGGTTTCCTGCTGAGAGTAGCCCCTCCCCCACCCTCTAGTTTCTCCCGCCGTCAGCCACAGTGAGCGGCGAGCGAGCTGAAAGTCTTCCTAATGTGTTGTGTGTTTATTAATGGTGTCAGTAATGAGCTTTTCTCATCTGCATACAGACGAACAGCGGCGGCGGTGGCGGCGGCGGCGTGTCTGTCAGCCTGATGGATGAACACATGAACAGTTGGACAGACGGACGGACACATGTTTGTTTGGGCGCCTAATTCATGCTCAAACAGACTGAATGTAAACGCTCCTAACGAATGCAGACACACGCTCCTCTAACACTTTAATAGAGTGAACACATTTGACACGACAGCGGCGACATTTTCATCCGTTTTCTCTGATTAATAAGAAACAAGAATTTTACAGAAATCCACCGAAACACCAGCGACGGACCGGACAGCGAAGATTAGTTTGTGGTTTTTGATTTGACCGTTTACCCTTCAGACTAAGAACATTTCCATCTTTGTGATTAAAGACCTGAAGGTTTCCTCTTCACGTCCTCCTCATGAGATAAAACTCCAACACCTGCTCGGTTCGCTCTCAAGCAGGTTTTTTCTCACACCTACCCCACAGCCGCCTTCACAGCCACTGAAATAAACTTGATTTAAATCCCGAATCCTCCGTCTAGTGGTCGCCTTTGTTATTGCAGCTGACGTAAAACTCCTCACAGGAGCTTTAACCAGCAGGTAGAGAGAAAACGGAGAAAATGAAACTGTGAGCGAGTCTCTAAAGTCGGTCGGTTTGTTTTTCACTCCTGAGCTACATAGCCTGACAGTCCTGATGATGATGATGATGATGATGATGATGATGATGATGAAGACTGCGGTGCAGATTATGAGAGGTGCAAAGCAGTAAAGTGCACCCAGGATGAATAATTAACCGCCTCTTTTCCCTATTGTCTATTTTTACCAGGGAGGGGGTGAGGGCCGCAGCTTACGTTTCAACTTTCACCAAAGAACAGAGGAGCAGCGTGTCCGACAGAAACCGAGAAGACAAGAGGAGGAAGAGGAAGAGGAGGAGGAGGAGGAGGTCTGGATGTTTTAGGGAGAGAGGGTGAGCAGAAACAGAAGGAGGAGGATCGAGCGGAGGCAGGAGAAGAGAGGCAGAGCAGATGTGGAGCTGCAGGAGGAGGAGGAAAGAGCCCGTGGAAAAATGAAGAAGAGAGATTTCAACTGTGAAAGATCGAGAGGAAGAAGAGGAAGAACAGCTGGAGCAGAGGAGGAAGAGTCAGAATCTCACTGTGGAAAAAGTGAAGGAAACTCAGAAAACTGGAGAGAGAGAGAGAGAGAGAGAGAGAGAGAGAGAGAGAGAGAGAGAGAGAGAGAGAGAGAGAGAGAGAGAGAGCAGAGATTCCTACAGAGACGATATCTGCAGACCAGCTTCATAAACACCAAAGACCCTCAACTGGATCCACAAACATCTGCAGGTGGAACCAGGGAGAGTTTGGTGCTGATCTTCTCCTGAATCATCCTGGGAACAGATCTACACGAGGAGTTCTACCTCATTAACGATAACCCCGCCCACACACACGCGCTCATAACGCACTGAAGACGAAAACGTTCAATAAAGAGACGAAGAGAAAACAGGCGAGGCGGACGCCCTGCTGTGTTTATCAAAGGAGAGGCGGTTAAAACCATCAACACCATCATCACTAACTCTGATTAATCAGTCTGAAGGTTTTTCTTCTTCTTCTTCAGGTGTTTTAATATCTTAGATCACAAACTTCCTGCTGCGAACAGACGATCATATCAGAGGAGAGTAAAGCTCCTTTCACACTGGGACCGTTTTTGTTGTGTGATTATTTCGGACGTCGATATTTTTTTCGAACCCGTATCCTGTCAGTACGAGCGTTCACATCAGCGACGTTTCCCCGTCCTGTGATATTGTGGCAGTCGGCCATGTTGGTTTATCCAAAACCTGAGATCTAATATTTACGTTGATCTTCTCTCAGCGTCTCGGAGTGATGATGCGTTCAGGGCAGCCTCAGATAAAAGAGTTCAGAGAGACTCAAACAGAACAGAGGAGGACTTTAACACTAATATTAGTGGACTAATTAAGTTAAAGGCAGATCATCGATATTATTATAATTACAAAACAATAAAGTCTGCAGCTTCAGTTTGACTTATTTAGAAGAGTAATCTCATCACAAATACTCTCATAATTCGCTCAAATCCAACACACAACATAACCCCAAAACTGACCCGAGTGCGCCGCAAAATTCTCACGGATTTTATGACCCAAATGTCGGCAGGTACACCTGTGACTGGAACTCTGGTTCTGGTTCTGGTTCTGCTGATCTCTGGACTCCGATCTTTTGGATCTTTTCCCCAAATCTGAACTTTTTACTCTGCAGACGTTTGTGGAAAAGTGTGTGTGTGTGTGTGTGTGTGTGTGTGTGTGTGTGTGTGTGTGTGTGTGTGTGTGTGTAGATGCAGACAGCAGTCACTCTCACTCTCACACAGGGTTGTGTGTAGAGGCCAGTCCATGTGCATCAGTAGGAGTCTGTAACTCTGTAGAAACATATTGATTACTGCTGCTGTCTGTGTGTGTGTGTGTGTGTGTGTGTGTGTGTGTGTGTGTGTGTGTGTGTGTGTGTGTGTGTGTGTGTGTGTGTGTGTGTGTGTGTGGAGCAGAACAGCCGGATCTGACTCTTGCGTCGCTGCTAAGCTAATCAGGTTAGCCCCCGGACGGAAGGAAGGAAACATCTCCTTCTCCTCTTTCCCTCTCACATTTTCCTCCTCCTGTCTCCTCCCTCCTTCTCTCCTCCATCACCTCCTTCCTCCTACGCTCTGAACTCACATCGTTCCCTTTGCTTATCCACCGTCTTTTCTCCTCCTATCCTCCCTAACAGAAGGAAAGGAGAAGCTGTAACCTCTTATATCTTCGACATGGACACTCGCTCACTTATCTCCTGAAACTGGATTTATTCTCGTCCTCTAAAAGAGCTCGGTATCTCCTCATTATGTCTAAGTGTCTCCTTCAAACTTCAGGGAAATCTTCTGCTGTGAAAAGCAATAATCTCCCCAACTCCTTCCGCCCACACCTCCAGCTCCTGCCTCCCCACAGAGGGAACCACAGGAGGGCCGCGTGGAGCCTCTCTGCAAACACAAATTATACACAGAGATATGATTCTTTACTATAGAAGAGCAGAGCAGCAGAAGGAGATCTTTGGTCACAAACCAGCCGACTGTGATAATGGAGAACCTGGAGGAGAAGCTCGGAGCGGAGGTCAGAGACCAGGAGGAGGAGGAGGAGAAGGAGGAGGAGGAGGAGAGTCGTTTCAGTCCACAGGTGGAGGAAAAAACTGAGTCAGGCCATCTCTCAAACGTCAAACAGCTGATCTAAATCTTGTAGTCAGGATCTGAGTTAGTTCCAGTTTTTAGGAGAAATCTTGAACGTAAACTCTACCCCTCCCAACCAGTTTTCCCCTCAGCTCCTCCCCTCCCTCTCTCAAGCCCCGCCCACAAACAGACGCTCCTGCTCGCTCGTATCGTTCCAATTAAATTCAGATATAATGCAGATAAATCCTTCAGATAATTACAAATGGGGCCCAGTCAAGGTGAAAGTCAAAAGCATTGGTGCTACTGTAGATGCCAACAGTCTACCAGCAAACACAATGTTTGCAGGACTTCTACAACGAGGATAAAGTGACATAGTCCAGGACCCGAGGGAGGACAGTTTAGCCTAAAAAATAAGAATGTATGGGTTTGAAATTGTACATTTCTGTGGACGGTGAGCGTTTTGTGAGGTGGATGCAATTCTCCGCGGACACGTGTTTCTCGGCTCAACACCAGTAACAACAACAACGATTATAAAATGAGAAACGAACAAGAGAAAACCACCGAAGATGAAGATTTGTTGGTAAAAAGAAAATCAATGTCAGTTATCAGGAATTATTTTGGTTATAAGAAGGATGACGTCGACTAAAACAAACATGTGTTCATGTGTTCATCTGTTTCCACAATAACGTCCCAGAACAATAAAATCTAAAAATATCTCTGAGACAGTCAGAAGTCGTTCTGTCTGAAGATCGGTGCAGGTTAAATCTAAAGTTTTTAATCCTCTCAGACTGAAGACCTCCGTCCCTCTTTGGTTCTCCTCACGGTTTTCTTGGTACCCTGATCACATCCTGTCCAGAGCGGGGCGCTGCGATTTGAATATCATTAAGAAAATCAATTAAAGGTGGAGGTTTCCCCCTCTATGCAGGATCCAAGGTGGAGGAGGTGGAGGAGGAGGAGGAGGAGGAGGAGGAGGAGGAGGAGGAGGAGGAGGTGCCTCTTTGTTCTCTTTGTTTCACAGGCAGTGATGGTGGTGGTGGTGGTGGTGGTGCAGAGCCGGACCCTGAAGCCTGCCGAGCTGTCAAATTGGCATCCTTCCACCTACCTACCTCCCCCCACTCCTCACCCCCACCCATCACTCTCCCACCTCCTCATTTATCCTCCTTTTATTCCAGCACCCCCCCCCCCCATCTCGTCACCCTGCCAACTCCATCCTTTCCTTCTCCTCCCCCTCCTCCTCCTCTCCTCCTCCCCCATCACCGCCTTTCTCCACACTCTTAGATGTTTCCTCTCCACACCCCCCAGAATAAAACACTCTCCCTTTCCCCCCTCTCTCTGCAATCATGTTTGATGGTTTCCATGGAAACAGAGTCAGGGAGGATGACGGTGATTTGGCTGAACTCAGACTGGAAGTACTGGTCAAAAACCATCATCACAGTCACGCCACACATCTGCACTGAGCGGGTCGAACCGGGTCTGTGACACATGAGCATCTGGACTAACAGAAGTCCGCTCTGATGGTCGACGAGACAAAACTAAAACTAGATCTAGATTAGACTGGATTTACCTGAAGCAGAGAACCTGTGAGGAACTTTGATCAGAACCAAACTGAGACGGTCTGACTGGACCAGAACATGGAGCGACGGAAACACAAAGATTCTGGACTTCAAGATCTCGTCTAATTCATGTTGAAGACGAGGATAAAATCAAACCTTCAGAGTAGAGCCGGGCGACGAAACGATAACGATATATATCGAAAATTAATTTCCCTCAATATCGATATAAAACATGATCAATATCCTCTTCGATGTTAGGCATTCTGTCATGTTTTAATAGACAATGCAAATAGACAATAAAAAGGGGAGTGTCTCCGGGTCTGAACCAATCATGTTCTGAATCAGAACCAAGTATCAACCAACTGCAGCGTCGTAGCAGACAGCAGCTCCACCCAACCATAGCACTTTAACAGGTGAAGCCGACAGCACTGTTGGTGAGAAACAAAGAAAATGAGTGCTACCCCCGACAGAAATGACCATGAAGGCTCAACAGATGACCACATCTTTTGGTAGTTTTGTTCGACAAAAATGATTCCAGTTCAATGAGTGATTCGTTCACCAAGTGACTCAGGCGTCGGTTCATGAGGTCCCTCCTTCGCCGGCTGCTGGCCTGGTAATGCTGTTTCTAACTTCAGCTCAACTGAAGTGAGAAACGAACGAATCACTCGAGGAAGTGATTTGGTTCAGTACGTTCATTTAAAAGATTCGGTTCTCTTGAACGAAACGTTCACGAACGACACAAGACTACTGTGAACTAGAGCATGACACGGGAGTGGATTTTCACTCCTGTCCCACTCCCAGGGAAAAAATCCCGTCCTGTTACTGCTGATATAAAAAATATATCGTGATAAACCTTTTCCCACATCGCCCAGCCCTACTTGAGAGTTTGGATCAGCTCTGTGGTGACACTAAACTCTGACTCAGCTTCTTCTCTCTGAGCTGCTGATGAACATCTACTCTCATCACCAGGTTTCAGATCTCCTCCTGAACATGTGGAAGAAAAATACAAAACCAAAACGAGAAACCCTCCCTAACACCTGCGTCTGAGTGCGGCCTCTCAGTGAGTCATCTACGTGGACACACACACACACACACACAGACACACACATTTATCGTCACCGCTAAAATCCGTTTGCGATGATGATGACGATGATGCTCCTCATCTCCTCAGGTGGGTGAGAGCGTCATCGTCATCGTCGGGCTGTAATTATCACAGGTCAGCTCTGATTCTTCCTCCTGAATCAGAAAAACACACACACAGACACACACACACACAGACACACACACACTCTCACATCCGTCTGACCTGAACTTGACAACTGAGGAGGGAAAACTGGAGCGCCAACTGTCAGTCAGCCGCCGTGACGGCCGCTCAGTATTCAGCCCGACTACAACGTCTTATTTCTGATTGCATCCATCTCTCACAGCGATCGATGAGAGCTGGAGGGAAGAGGAGAGGATCATTTCTGAACAGAGAGAGAGAGGTGGAGATATTGATAAGACACACACACACACACACACACACACACACACACACACACACACACACACACACACACACTCAGAGGCTGCGAGGATTAACAGGGTCCAGGCCAGGGAGCTCCACTGCAGAATATTGATCGCTGAGAAAACCAGCCATGAGGAGGAGTGTGTGTGTGTGTGTGTGTGTGTCTTTATGGATGTGTGTGTATGTGGTAAAGGGTGGGGGACAACACCACTGAATCACACACACACACACACACACACACACACTTGTAATACTTGAAGCAGCTACATGTGTAATGTCTGGACTAAACCACGAGCTCCGGTCTTATCAAACCCGGCAGCTGAGTCACGTTTAGACCTGATGGTTCTGGTCCAGCATCAGTTTGACACTTTCAGGGCTCCAGACCCAGGATTTAAGATCCACCATCCTGTCAAAAAAGCTCCTTAAAAACGACGAGTGACTGTTTTGGAAACTGATTCTGACGGCTAAAGATCTCGGATTCAGTTTCTGACTCAGTGACATTAAAAACAGGATTGAGGAGAGAAGAATCTCAGGAGGAGACGAGTTTGTGTTTTTTTTAATTCACCTCTTGGATGGTGGACCAAAAACTCTGTGACGTATCGTTGCGACTTTAGAAAACTGTCCGACTCGCGGCCGACCCTTCAGTCCTGTCAGTAAACTCAGATTATGAAAATAATCCTGGGTTAGAAATGATCTTCTCTTTTCTCCGTCTCTCTCAGGCTAATCAAACCTTGTACTGTACACGACCACGATCAATAATCTGCCACTGACCTTCACCGAGACGACAGACGGAGAGGAGGAGGAGGTATCAGGAGGAGGAGGAGAGCGAGGAGCAGTCACATGAACACATCCTCCTCCTCCTCTTTAAGAAGGAAGCTGGTCTCTGATTCCTCCAGCAGATGTAAAAACACACACACACACACACACACACACACACACACACACACACACACACACACACTCGCTCTGCGTCTTCTTCTTCTCCTTCCTCAGCCGAGCGTCTGCATTCGATTCAGCTCTTAAAATGATAATCCATAAACTCTGACTCCTGCTCTCCGTTCACTCGTCTCCTTTTGTCTGCTCTGAATCACTCACCGAGGAAGGATGTTATCACTTTATACAGCGGCGGCGGCGAGGGGAGCTAAGTTGTTTTACATGAAAAGTCAATAAAGTTGGGCTGATTCCACCGACACTACACCTGCAGTTATAGAGAGAGAGAGAGCGAGCGCAGTTTAGGATTTCTTAAGGAAAATATTACGACTTTGACTAAAACCAAGAGAAGATATCGGCTGGTTCAAACCCGGGGTCACATGACTTTAAAGTCCCGCTCCGACAGACAACAAGACAAACGTGATTTTCATCTTTGTGGGTCTTTAAAAATAAGAGGATAGAAATGATCGGTCCACTTGTTGGTCGACTCGTTTGCCTCGCCTTAAAAGAGGCATCTATGTTATTATCTCTGTGTTTTATATCCAGTAAAAACTCCTCTGGGAGCTTTAAGGACTAATTCAGCCCATTAAACAAAAACAAAGAGGCGGACTGGGATTAGAGCAGACACAGAAATCAGGAGACGATGGAGGAGGAGGAGGAGGAACCGGCCCCAGTCTGAAGCTCTGAGACAGCTGCTCCACCTGTCTGAACATCACAGGTGAGAGCAGACGGAGTCAGTGTGTCTGATCAACTCCAAACTAAACTAATATAATACTAACATAAACTAATATAAACTAATATAATACTGATATAAACTAATATAAACTAATATAATACTAACATAAACTAATATAAACTAATATAATACTGATATAAACTAATATAAACTAATATAATACTAACATAAACTAATATAAACTAATATAAAATAACATAAACTAATATAATACTAATATAAACTAATATAATACTAATATAAAACTAATATAAACTAATATAAACTAATATAAACTAATATAATACTAATATAAACTAATATAACACTAATATTAACTAATATAAACTAATACAAACTAATATTAACTAATATAAACTAATATAACACTAATATAAACTCAGTCCGTCCAAAATATCAAACAGCTGATCGTATTTAAACTCCAAACCCACAAAACAGCTCGTCTGTCCGAACGACAAGGAAGTGAGGCGGAAATATGACCACAGACGGACAGACAGACAGACAGGCACCGCTACGGTTACAGACCAACACACACACACACACACACACACACACACACACACACAGTCTGGTTGTGGCTGATTCAGGAGACGTTCAAACCTCTGTGTGTGTTTTTGTGAGCGTAACAAAATGACCGAGAAGGAAGCAGATCCATAAATGTCACAGTGTGTACACCTGAAACTGTGTGTGTGTGTGTGTCTGTGTGTGTGTGTGTGAGAGAAAGAGAGAGAGAGAGAGAGAGAGAGAGAGAGAGAGGGAGAGAGATTGCAGATTGCTCTTCTATTTATCTCCACACAGACAGATCCTGACCTTGTCTTGTTATTAGATAAGCACTTTGTGTGTCAGTGTGTGTTTACATGTGTGTGTATATTGTGTTGTTAGTGTGTCAGGGAGATGACACATCTACTGTAATATACACAGCTGCGGTTATGAATCACAGCTGGAGGCCGCTGACGGCGTGATCAAACTACAGGAACAACTTCTCAAACTAGGACTTTTTCTTTGTTTGTTTGTATTTTTTACACGCTTTTAGTTTTTTTAGTAATCCTACAAAAAATATAAATATATTTATATATATAAAATAAAAAATAAAAATAAAAAAAATGACAAAAAACTACAAAACCCACGACAGCAACAAAAAAATGTGCAAAAAAACCTACGAAAAAACCCAAAAAACAAAAACAAAAAAAACAACAAAGACAACAACAAAAAAAAAACAGAAAAACAACAAAAAAACAGAAAAATAACTTAACATTTAAAAAAAAAAAAAACTCAAAAACAACGAAAAAACTACAAATAAAAAATGAAAAAAAAAACTACAGAAAAAAACCCACAAAAACAGCAAAAAACTACAAAAAACCCACAAAAACAACAACAAAAACCCCCTACAAAACAGTTTTGATGCCCAGTGTCAGTCCACTTTCACATCTATCTGGAGAAAAATAAACATCACTGCTGAGACCTTCTACCTTCTCTCCTAACCAGAGCAGGTCATGAAAACCTCCCT